CGGCTCCCGGATGACCGACCTGACCTCCAGCATCCCGAAGCCGCTGCTCCCGGTGGGAAACCGGCCCCTGCTCTGGTACCCGCTGAACCTCCTGGAGCGGGCCGGCTTCGAAGGTGAGAGGCGCAGCGTGGCGTGGGGTGCGGGTGCGCATCGCCTGCTTCCCTGGTCTCTTCAGGGTTCCCGTGGTCACCTCCAGCACTCCTGTTTATCGCCTCCCCTTGTTCTGATGTCCTCCCGTAGGTGCTGTGTTGATCAGGACAGTTGCCTTAGTAGAAGGTTTATTCTCTGCACTGGAACTATTGACTGTGACCCATGTCAATCCTTTCCTTAGCTCTAGACTCCTGTGCCTGCTCCTCAATTCCCCCTCACCAAGGCTTCTCCAACCCCACACATCTTTGGTGTCTTTTTCAGTGTTGTTAACCATTAGTCTCTTGTTTCTTTCTCTGAATCATTAATGAGAGTGGTGTGAGAAGTGTGTCAGCTCTCTTGGGATGTCTCTTGGTTTGTTGTTTCAGTCTGGCCTGAAGTTCAGGGTTACTTGCTCTGTCTGAGGCGTTTAGTCCTTGTTGTTGTAGCGTGGAGCCAAGTGCAGGGCAGGGGGAAGTGACTGTCTTGTAATGCTCACCTGTGAGCCCTGTTTCATGGAACAGCTAAGACAGTGTTTAGTACATGGGGAGGTCGTTCACCATTTTCTGGAGTTAGGTTTCTGTTTATCTTTTGAATGATGAGCTAAATCTTTCTATGCTGCTCCCCCTGCTACTTAGAAAAATTCTAACACTTTTCATGGCTCTGTTTTTTTATGCTTGTATTTTTCCTTTGCCTTTCTGCTTCTGTGGTTTTGCTTCCTCTGCATGACACTGTGGTTATTCTGTATTCCATCCCAAGAATGTGGCTTTTTTCCTGGCTGCTCCTTTTTTCTGTGGCAATGTAAAGATCAGCTTATGGTTATCCATGTCTGCCTCTTACTGTTTCAGTGGGAAGGAACGAAAGAAAGAGCAAACATCAGACTTTGCTTTTATCTTGTTTCATTATGAAATCTTAAAAAATTCTTTTCCCATGGAATTGTTTTTTGCCTGCTTCTTGTCAAAGTCTGCTTTCTGATTATCTACTTTCTCTGACTGTTCTCTTCTTTTGCTAGGATCATACTTTTATCCTGTGATATAGATGCATGGGCATCTAAAAGCTTCTCTGTAACCAGACTTGTGCTTTGTGTGGCTCTTCAAAACTATTCAGAAATAACCATTTCCACTTGATGCTCTTGACCACTAGTAGGTGATGGTACAGTTGGTTCTTTCTCCCTCTTCACACATAGCTCTTCAGCTCACCTATACCCTACAAAAATTTGGACATGCAAGGCTGTATATGCAGCTTCAGAAAGGAAGCTGCCACCTTCTTGTTCTTTGCTTGCTTCTGCCTCCTTACAAAACTGTAGGTTTCTGTGTTGACACTTCAGTGGTGTGAATTCTTTCCCTGGACTGTAATTCTGAGTATTACAGGAGGCTTTAGTTCCTTATACTTGGTTGTATTAGTAAGAAACTGTTGCACAGTCTGATTCACTGCATCCTTCTGTTCCAACTGCAAGTGCTTCATGTCTCCTAATAAATATTAGGAGACTTTTCAGGTGTTCTTATGCTGGCCTGTGATGCTTCTCCAGGCCCAGCACATCTGTTAGTGGTATTGGCCTCAAAGTAGAGGCAATGGGATGGATTGAGGATCCTCTCCTCTAGTTCACCAGGTTTATGCTGAACTGTGAGTTTATAACTTCCACCTGACACTAATTTCTTCAGTTACTTCCTTCCTGAATTTAAGGTGTGCTTTCAATCCCTTTCTTCAGCCTGTTTTGAATCCAAGTTGGCATCCAGTATGGGAGTGGGAGGGGAGCCCTTCCTTAACTCTGGTACCAAACTGCCACATGATTCTCATGTTTGCAGTTCCTTCCTCTTTTCTGTTAACAGATTCAGGATGAATTCACTTTTGGTAGATACAGATTTATTCTTAGTGTGTTTTCATCTTATCACAGGAGCTTCCTAAACTGAGGGCTGTATTATTTCCCATTCTTCTCTATTAAAATTGCGTGTGGATTATGACATTATGGTCTTGTTGGTTTTTGTTTCTTTGTTTGTTTTTTTTTGGTAGGGTGTGATATTTTAATTTGTGGGTTTGAGTCTTATTTTTCCTTCCAGTTCTTGTGACCAGAGCAAAAGGTTTCTTGCTGTTTTATTTTCTCAGTCTTGTCTTCTGTTCTCACCTTTTGGAAAATAACCTTTCATGACAGTATTGATATCCTTCAAATATGAATTTATCTTTTTTTTTTGTAGATCAAATGAGTTTGTTTCTCACATTATTATTCCACTCCCTTGCCAAGATGGTGCTCAGAAATAGCTTATCCATTGTCTTATGGACAGTGCTGTTGTCCTCAAAGGATTATATGCGTTCAGGGTGAGCAAAAGGCAAAGTTCTGAAGTGTTGGTGACATTAATGCAAGGTCTCATTGATCTCCTTAAGGACATATGGTTTGAAGTCAGTCAGTAACAATAGCAGACATTTCTGTTTTGTCTTGCTAACTCATACCATTCATGAGCATGAGTCCCTTTTAATAACAACCCCCCATCCATACAAGTAGGGACAGACTGTTTTTATATACAGTAGGAGTTTCTCTTTTGCAAAAGTTACTGTTGCCAAAAGAGCTTGGTTTGTTGCAGAACCAAGTTATGGTACTCAAGCTTTTTGACAGTTCCATCAGCTTTTGTAAATAAAAAATGAATGTAATTTATTTGTGTTGAATATGTCAGTATTTTTTGTGTTATTTCATCCCACTTTTCTCTGTCCTAGAGGTCATTGTGATTACAAGGAAGGAAATCCAAAAGATGTTAAACTTGGACACAAAAATGAAACTGGATTTTGTGTGCATCAGTGACAACATGGATATGGGTACAGCAGATTCACTGAGGCATATTCACCAGAAAATTAAGGTATTACTGTCTTTTATTGAACTTGACTGGGACACATTTGTTTACAGTAGTATTTTTTTTCATTGTGCTTTAAGAGCTGTCCCAAGTAGTGATGCTGCAGTTAACTGAATAATATCCTGATCTTCAGAAGAGCTGAATTTTGTAAAGGTCACCTCATGGGGGAACTCAAACAAAGACTCTAAATTACTTGAATTGAGAGCTTGGAAGGCTGGAGCGGATCCAGGCTAGGCACTGACTGCTTCCCAGTCAGCATTAGCTTTTTGGCAGGTTCATTAAGAGGTTGTATTTGTTCATACAATTTTTTTACATGATTTGTGATAGCTGTTGTCCAGATAGTGCTTGGAGAGGTAGTTCTGCATAAATGTTGTTTGTTGTCTTAGCTATGGGGACACACTGAAATGTAAGGAAGCTTTATGTTCAGTTCCTGGCCCTACACAGGCCTGCCTGTGTCGTTAGGCAAATGACTTGCTTTGTGCTTCAGTTTTCTGCTTTTTCTGTGCTTTTGCTGGCTTGTCCGTATGGTAAGCTCTTTGATAAACAATGCCCAAATGTGATAAAGGGCTGCTGTTCTAATAAAAACACCAGTTTATAGAATTTTAATTTCCAGCTGCACAATTAAAACACTCCCATGTAAGGCAGAAATGCCGCTTGGAGCTCTTGCCATGATCTGGGATGGAATTTTGTTTTTGTCGTTGACATACACTTAATCTTTCTGATTTGTTCCCTCTCTGTTTAGGCCATCTTAGCCAAACTGGCTGTTTAAAGAAAGGTTGCAACAGAACATCAATGGATTGTTTAAGTCCTGAGGTTTCTTTTTGTCTTCATGCTCTTTTTGAAGGCAATAAACTGCAGTATTAACAGGCTGTGTGCTCCCAAGAGAAATACTCCAGTTGAGACAAGATGAAACTTTCCAGGCAGATGTGAGGGTCTAAGTGGTACAATAAGGGAGTTTCGGCAAGGAATTAATGCATAGACCAGAATAATTTAGAGGGCGAAGAGAAGATCTAAAGAGGAAAGCAAAATCAACAAAATTGGTTTAACTTAACTGAATGTTTCTGTCATATGGAGAATCGCCCTCTGTCATAGCTCAGTTTGGCAGTATTTTTTAAATACATGCATGAAGTAAGGAAATATCTTTGCATTTCAAATTGTGACCCTGGCCTTACCGTTTTATTTCCTGATCAGAACGATCAGTCTGGGTGTCTTTCTTTTTGGTAATCCATTGAAGTTTGCTTATGGGGAGGCTCCGGAGACAACAGTAAAGTGTGTGTAAGAAAATAGACTC